CTCCCGACATGCTATTAATGATCTTTCAATTCAAAAAATTCAATTCTCAGTCTCCATTGACCCTCCTAGTACTAAAAAGAGATGTGGTCTCATATCTTAGAACACTTCATATATTTATCAATAAGTGTTGTCCCACCACCACTAGCTTGGGTCTAAGAATCCTGAATTAGCCATGTCCGTGCAGCCATCATCTAAGTAAATATGTCCATGGGGACACTAGCACCACTGGATAGGAAAGTTCACACTTGTAGATGACAGGGCTCACTTTTATACATCATAAATACATACATGCATATTTTTTGTAACTTTTTGATATAATAAAATGCACATTTTCAAGGATAGAGATGTGCACACTTGTGGTCTTGCTTTTTTAAATGTGGTGGAGGTCGATGCCAACCACACTAACTCTTTTGTGTAGCCTTTATATAGCTTCTTTTGTTGTTGATTAATGCACACTTTCAAGGATTGAAGATCAGTAAATATTAGTAGAACCGGATGCTATTATTTAGCAGCTCTGACCTTTCTAATTATTCCCATCAATATGCTCTTGATTCATATCCATTGCCCTAACATACAAAAGTTTTGACAATCATTACACTGAATATTATAATTACCACTTAACTAGCTTAATATAAATTAATGTTTTTTTTTCCTAATGAATATTTTAGTATAATCATCTTTCTACTAGCTCTATAATCTAGCTCTGATATCATTTTTGTCACGACCCAACCCAGGAGCTTTGAATATTGAGACAGGAACGAAAAGCCACCAAAAGCAAGAACAATTTAAACATTTTTATTTACTTAAAAAATCATTCAAAACAAAAATAAGTGATTTTATTTCATAAATTCTAGTTTACAATGACCGTTTAGATTCAAAATTTAACAGCTAAAAAATATAAAAACTAAAATGTTAGTAATTTAGATTCAAACCTATCTCCTTGAGCTCGTCAGCATCAGTACACATTCTTTAGGATGCACCTACTCTAAAAGAAATTTTCCTTAAAAATTTTAGTAATTGGAGGTGTGAGTTAAATTACTCAGTTGTTAAAAATATTTCTTTCTGAATTACAACTCATTTAAAAATTCTTCATAAAAATACAGAAAAAAAAAAGTTAAGTGTCTGGTTAGTTTTACTTATTCAATTAAAATATCTGTCAACAGAAGTCATCATAAAAATATGTACTAAACGCGCACATAATATTTTTCAAATTTCACCAAAAGGCTAGACAATCATTTTTATTTACATGCATGTGCACAGTGCATCCCCAGCTAGTACCAACTTTTTCTTTCTTTTATTTAACATTGAAAAACATGAAACTTACATTTTTAAAAGAAAGTAATACAAGTAATTAAAAATTGCAATTAATTTAATAAATAAAATAAATTATTATAAAATAAAAAACTTTTAATCGAATATTCAATGCACTCGGTTGCCTTTGTCTCAGGTGAAACTAATCCTTTAGTTTACTTATAATAACTTATTAGATTTAATTAGTTCTCATTATTTTTTCCAATGAGCTTTTTTTACCCATTTTTTTCCTATCAATATACATATATATATACTTATGTCAAAGCTTCTAAATTTTTCTTAAACTATACATAAGCCTAAGGGGCTTAAAGTTTAATTTAAATTTCTCCTAAACTCATTTGCAATTACAAAAACATAAGCATTTATTGTTACACAAAGATTCATAATTAAAAATTTCTCTTTCTTCCTTTTCTGATTTCAACTTTCAAATCAAAATCCTAAAATTTCCTAAGAAACTCAAAATTTAACATAAATTTTTTGAAATTTAACCCAATTAATTAGGAATCAAATTTCTCTAGCATAATGATTACGAAATAATTAGAAATTCACAATTAAATTTCTTACTTGAAGCCAAAAATTCCGCTTTCCCTTGTTGTCGAACCAACACAATTCCAAAGCACAGAAACGCTTGCTCAAGCATCTTAAGCTCGTAGGAAGGACTCCCGCTTGAGCTCCTCTCGACATTGAGAGCTTAGAATGCTTGATAAAGTGTCCCAGCAGCGTGGAAATGTGCAGCCAGCTTGGTCTAGCATCTCCCGTATGAGAGAATAGGTCCTGCATGTTGATTCTAACAACAAGAGCACGCAATCGCTCAGTTGAGCGCCTCTCGATTGCGGAAAAGCTTCGCATTACGAAGGAGAAGCCGCATGCACAGCTTTTATTTCCTTCTTTTCGTTCGATTAGGGCATGCACCCCTCTTGTTCGCAGTTTATCGAAAACACGCGAGGAAAGCTCGCTTGAGCCATTCAACCCCCAAAAGTGATCATATGGAATGGAGTATTGCCTCTCAATCTTTCTCTCTTGGGACTCACCGCTTCTCCCCTTCCCTCTCACACTTTCACTTCCTCTGTCTCGCTCTCTCTATTCACTCGTCCAACTCGGTTGATTGAGGGAATGAAAGAAGCAATCAGTTATCTTCCTGGGGGCGATGTGGGTTCCGATTGAACGGCACCTAAGAAGCGGGAGTTGCAAACAAGTATTTTCATTTCTTTTTTTTTATAAATAAGTAAGCTAATTAATTTTTTTTAAAGAAAATTATTACATAGGAAGATAGGTACATCATTTTAGTTTTTACTTTTCTACAGTTGTAATAGCTTAAATTTGAACAAACTATTATAAATTAATTTTTTTAAAGATAGAATGGCTCTTTTATATTTTAAATCTTTGATTTAAGGACTCCATCAAACCATTCATTCCCTCCTTGAAATTTTAAGCTCTGGGTTAAAACACCTCTTTTATGATTAAGTTCTATCCTAGGTTACAAATTTTTATATTTATTAAAGCGCAACTTTAATTCAGTTTTTTTCAAATTTTTTGTACTCTTATTAGGTGTCACTTCTGAATTAAGGTTTTGTTTTTAACGAACTTTGTGTATTTTCTATATTTTCATAACTTTGTGAGGTTTTCAAATTTTAAATTTCCAAATCGAGGAAATCCTCTCACTTCACGGTATAATATGCTTTTAACCATGCATGATATTTTTCTAAAGAGCCTTTCTACCCTTATTTAGACCTAATTGATAGCTGAAACAATTGCTTTTTGCTCTTGCGAGCTACATGCAAGTAATTCTTTGGCATCCCTCGGTCAATATCAGTAAGATCAATCCTCCTGCATAAATTCGGACGAATATAAAGCAATCTGAAGATTTAAATGAAAGTTAAGTTATTCGGCCATTGATTGTTTTCATACAAATTCACTATCATTCTAGCATTCGTACATCCTCAAAATCAAAAAATTACTTAAAAAATCTTATCATGCTTCTTATGTTGCCAATCTATCATAATATCACCAAACAAGGGACAATAGACATTAATTCGTGATTATATGATGCATTGAACAATAATATGGCACGCACTTAAATGGTAGGAGTAGCTTATTAAATAGCAACTTCGACATGATTGAATCCCATAAAACATATACATCTAGGAAAAAATACTAGTGACAAGCGCAAAAAAGTAGTTAGGATATTGCAAGCCCAAACCATAGTCTTTTGTTCCCATATAATCTAAACAATATGAACTCCATAATCAATAGGAATCGGGCCTCCAGTCCAGGTAAAAAGAAGTATCTGTTAGGCAAATCTCAAAGGCCTCACAACTATTATCATTCACATGAGAAACAAAGGGTCAATCAATTTCACACCACAAGACAAGCAATATGAAAAAAAAAGGTCAATCATGAAACATGTGCAAAAGAAAAACAAGGAATTTATGGCCTGTTTGAGATAGCTTTATTGTTATTTTCTTATAAAATTATGTGGTAAGAAGCAACTTGTTATAACCAATGCTTGCTAGGTTGTGGTAGATTTAAGAAGTTATTATCCGACCTTTCAAAAAAATAATCATAATAATATACCCAAAGCAACTTTCAAAAAAAATTATTTTTATAATGTATACCTACTTTTACAAAAAATTGTAGCCGCCCCAAATGAAACCTTAGTAACCTAAGTGCCTCATAATTGAGCATCTTGCAACATATGCAACAAAATATATTCAGAGAAGATTGAGGTAAAGACGTGATTATTTGGTCCCTCCAATATTTACAAGGGACTCAAAGAGAGGGAAATTGATATAAGATCAAATCTTAATTATCAATTAACAAAGATCCTCGGTCACCTTAAGATTGGAGTAAAGACGTGATTATTTGGTCCCTCCAATATTTACAAGGGACTCAAAGAGAGGGAAACTGGTATAAGACCAAATATTAATTATCAATTAACAAAGATCCTCGGTCACCTAACCTCCATTAGTAAATAAGAAGAAATCCCAATTGGTAGGTTGAGAGTAATAATTATCAAGAAAATCCTCAACTGCTAGATAGTCACTAATAAGGAATGAAGGGCAATTTGGTTTACACCTAAAAAGGCAAACAATTATGAGAAATGAGGAACTCAAGAAAGCAGTATATGCAAAAAGAGAACATATGATTTTGTAGTCGGCGTGTCTTACTTACTATTGAAGATTCCACACTTATCAAACCCATTCTAGCATATTCATAAAAGAGTATAAGTTAAGCTGGAAATAACTATTACAACACATGCTCCACCTATCTCAAGGGAAAATACTTATCATTACTATAAGTTCTTAACTGAGAGAAAGAGCATGATTTAACTCAGGAGCGAAAATCATTGATAAATAGAGTCAGATCATACTAAAATTCTAACCATCAGATGAATAAAAAAATGGTGAATTCGTACTTTTTCTTCAAAGAAATCCTAATTTTCTCATTCCTCTCATCCTTCCAACATCTCTGAATAATTGAAGTAATTCCACACCATGTCTCCAAGTTGAGCACAATCGAGCATCTTTAGACATCTTCAAAAATACAAACTAACGTAATCCAATATTTCACATACGGCCATATCAGAATTAATAATCAACATACACAACATACTACAAATCTTGTTACTGAATCAGCAGCTCAATTGAAAAGACTAGTAAAATAAAAAAGTAAGCATTATAAATAGTTACCTGAAGTAAAGCGATTTTAGCAAACTGCTCATACAAGCCTTCAACCACAACTTCACAGGTTGACTCAGCTTCAACTATAACTTTCTTTAAAATATTCATCATGTATGAAAGATTGCATGAAATATCACTCTACACACACAGATGCAATCTGTAAGCATAGATCAAGGACCAAAACTAAAAAAAAAAAGCTTGAATATAAAAAAAAATTGAAATTCTTCCTGTTAAAAGCAAATGTTGATGTTTAAAGTAGGTTTAATATGCACCGATAGGTGAAACAACAACAACAATAACTACAACAAGCTTTTATCCAACTAAGTGGGGTTGGCAACATGAATTCTTTTTCTCCATTACGTCCTATTGAGAGTGTCATATTTTCATTTAATTCTAATAAATTAAGATCATTTTTTATGCATTACACCGAAGCCTTTATAGGTCTACCTTTGTATTTTTTAACATAAGTCGAATCTAAAACATCTACCCTCCTAATTATATCATCAGATGGTCGACGTTCAATGTGACTAAACCATCTCAACCACTCTCTCTAATTTTATCTGCCACTGGAGCTACACTAACTCTATCACGGTTACATTCATTTCGCATTTTCTCTAAGTGTCAATCCACTCATCCACCTAAGCATTCTTATCTCAGCAACATTTTTTTTTTCTTTTTGTCCGACAAATTTTTACGTTGGTTGTCAACTATCTAACGTAACCCTCCACTTTTCACATCTAAGCCTCGGGGGGACCCCGCATCGATTGGTGATATAATAGATAAATATGTGTGAACATCACAAATAATGATATAATATCAAAATTATTTGCTTCACGGACTGCGTGAAAAACAACTTTTATTTATGCTCATTTCAATTTTACACGCACACACACGAGGATATATATATATATTTGAAAGCCCAAAGGCTAATAAATTAAATAAAAAGTTTGGTACATATAGATTTTGTAGGAGATCCCAAAAATGACACTCAGCCCACACAAAAACCATCATATCAAATGGTTTCAAAAAAGAGAGAATACAGCCAATACATAAGAGATCTAAAAAAATAAAAACTAAAAAGTGTCAAAATAGGAGTATTAGGTAGCTGGAGAGCGACCCAATTTTGTCTTGCCTCGGCCTCTAGTTCTAGAGAATGAGACAGCTAATAAATTGGTCAGATGAGTGTCATTGACAGTAGTAACTAATGTATCATTCAATAGATTCCCTAGCTCGAGTCGTCCTCTATTCTTCTTCTTCCTCCTCGTGTAGACCTGTCATTCCTCATCCGAGGATTGGCTCACATGATCAGCACAATGGTCTGAAATATGCAGAATATGTGTAGATTGTTGAACATTATAGGCAACTACTTGTTGTACCAGTTGATCTTCATTCGGGTTGAAAGAACACTCTCGTGTGTCTCGGAATGTAAGTGAGACTTCTTCAATAACGGTAGATGGTATCAGCACATTTGGATATGTATCTGTAGTAAGGTGTTATTCATCTGAAACAGCGATGTTGGAAAGATGATTGGATTGCACCTTCTCAGCAAGGATGGTAGATGACTGAACTTTAGCTATATTCGACCTTAGATTTCGGCCTTATATGAGGATGCAAGTGATAGCAAATAGTAGAACTGTGGCCAAACATACTACAATGTGAGCAATAAAGAGAATGTGGTTCTATTTCAACCTTTTGTCAATACCCGTTGTGAATAATATCAATTTATATCTCATCCTGAATTGATTGAGTGATATCTCTCTCAGCTAATACACAAGTCACAGATAAATGTGTCTATATATATATATATATACCTGTGTATTAGCTGAGAGAGATATCTCTCAATCAGATAAATGTGTATATATATCTGATTGAGTGATATCTCTCTCAGCTAATACACAAGTTACATATAAATGTGTATATATATATACACATTTATCTGATTGAAAGATATCTCAGCTAATACACGTCTATATATATATATAAAGGTGAAATCGATATTTGATCCAGTGGGCATTAAATATCAATTCCCCCAAATGATTGAAAACTCTGGTGTACTTGCTCCTGATTCGAAGAGCTCGCGTCATGAGATTCGAACCCCCGACCCGAGTGACTTACGCCCCCCCC